AAAAAAAAAAAAAAAAAAGATTCTTCCCCCAAAAAGGGGGCCTTAACTACTGACTGACAGTAAATTCTGAGTGACATACAATTAATTTCAGTTAACCAAAAACACCCCCTTCCTTTAAGCTTCTAACCAATGAAAATTTTAGCACCGAGGTAACGGACAGAGTAGGTAGAAAATGCCAAGGACCCCACTTACCCTCGTTTCCCACATCATCGTTCATGAGCCCCCCCAGCCACACCTTCCAGTCCTCGTCGTCCGCCGTATTGGGGTCATACATGTCTGGGGTGATGTCCGGAGCCCGGAGCGCCGCCTCTAGCTGCCCCAGGGGGATGTCCTTCAGGGGCATCTTGGAGCGGGTGCGGAAGGCAATGAGGCTGTCATCCATGGGCTTGCCGACAGAGAAGGGATAACACGAGTCACTCAGCGCCTGGTACCCCCCGACCCTCCAGACCTCCTCAGACCTCCTCGGACCTGCACCCTTCTCTTCCTGCCTTAAATCACAAGGTCTCTTCCCCACACAACTTGGGTTTCTTATTCTTTGAGAAACTTTAAGGACAATGACGTCAGTTTTAAAACCAACATTTCAGACACATTTATAGCGGCTTTACTAAGATACAATTTACAAACCATAATATTCATCCTTTAGAAGTGTGTAACTGAGTGCATTTTACTGTATTCACAGAACTGTGGGGCCATCACCAGTATCTAACCCCAGAACATTTTCTGCACCCCTAACAGAAACCCCAATCCTATTGGTAGGCGTTCCCCATTCTCCCCTGCTCCCCGTCCCTGACAACCACTCATCTACTTCGTGTCTGCGGATTTGCTTAGGCTGGACATGATACATATGTGGAATCCTACAGTATGTGGCCTTTTGTCTCTGGCTATTTACTTAGCATGACATTTTCAGAGTTCATCCACGTGTGGCGTGGGTCAGTGCCTCATTCCTTCTCACTGCGTTAACGATACCCCATCTACACCTCGGTGTGTCCATTTATCAGCTGAGGGAAACCTGTGTTGTTTCCACTTCGGGAAAGTTTATTATGAGTAATGCCAATAAGAACATTTGTGTACTTGTTTTTACTTGGATATATGTTTTCAGTTCTCCTGGAGCCATACAGTAACTATGTTTAACTTTCTGAGGACCCACTGAACCATCTCCCAAGTGGCTGCACATTTCACGTTCCCCCCAGCAGCGTGTGAGGGTTCTACACTCCTCCACATCCCTGACAATACTCGTTACTGTCCATCCTTTCTATTACAGCCTGGTGGATGGGAAGTGGTGTCTTGTACTCTTCCTTTGCAATTTCCTAATGACTAATGATGTTGAGCATCTTTTCACGTGCTTCATGGCCATGTGTACGTCTTCTTCAGAGGACGATCTATTCATAGCCTTTGCTCATTTTTGAATTGGGTTGTCTTTTCATTGTTGGGTTCTAAGAGCTCATTATACATTATGGATACAAGGCCCGTTCCTCCTATGTTTTCCTCTAAGAGTTTTATAATTTTAGCTCTCATATTTAGGTCAATGATCTATTTAGCATTAAGTTCTGTAGCTGGTGTGAGGTAAGGGTACTGCATACTTTTGGATGTGGAGTTCCAGTTGTCCCAGCACCATCTGCTTGAAAAGACTACTCTGGCACCACTGTCGGTCTTGGCATCCTTGTCAAAAATCAGTTGACCACAAATGTAAGGATCTACTTCTGGACTCTCAATTCGATTCCACTGATCCATAGGATTGTTCTTATGTCAGTACCAACCTGTGTTGACTGATTACTGTAGCTTTGCAATAAATTTTGAAATCAGGAAGTATAGACCTCCAACTTGTTTTTTCAAGATTGTTTTAGCTATTCTGGGTCCCTTGCATTTCCATGTGAATTTCAGGGTAAGCCTATCAATTTCTGCCCAAAAAAAAAAAAAAAGCAGCAGCTGGGATTTGGATAGGGACTTCAGGACGTCCTCCCTGGATGACTGTTTCTCCCTCACTCTCCTACAGAGTGCTGCCCACACCTTAACCAAAGGGAAGTGTTTAATATCAATCAGAAAATATCACACAAAGATTTTCAAATGTGAAAATAAAATCTAAACTCCTTATCACGTTTCTAAGACCCTCATGACCTAGCTCCTGCCCAGCTCTCCGTCCTCACCCCTACTCTTTTCTCCGTGGTCCCCGGGCTTCAGCTCGTTTCTGTCTCTTACACAAGTCAAAGCTGTTCCCACCTCGGGGACTGTGAATGTGCTGCTTCCTCCGTATGGGACACTTTTCCCCAGACCATGGGTCTACACGGCTCCTTCTAATTCAGATCTCAGCTCAAATGTCACCTCCTCAAGGAGGCCTTTTTTGTTGTTGTTTTAAGATTTTATTTTTAAATAATTTCTACAACCAACATGGGGCTCAAACTCACAACCCCAAGACCAAGAGTCAGGTGCCCCACTGACTGAGCCAGCCGGGCGCCCACGGAGGCCGCTTCTGGTGACCCAATGGAAGCACTCTGGGGGGCTTACCTGACTTCTCCACTTTTATTTAGTTCATAGCACTTACCACTACTTGAAATCACTTGTTTATGGCATCTCTCTCTCCAACAGGAAAGACCTTTCTGTCTTGTACCTTGCTATTCCCCAACTTCCAGCATTCAATATGTGTATGAATAAATGGTCATACAAAACACTATTACCCCCCTCACACTATTTATTCACTGCAGAGCAGGGTGATTAGATTAAATGGCCCTTTCAGGGGCATTCCACTCAATACTCTCTTTTTCAATTTTCGGACAGACATATTTTTCATTAACCTATGAGACTGGTGGAGAAAACCCAAAACATTCAAACAAACTGGCTAAATGGTGGGACTTAGAAAGTCATCAATTGACAGTGACCAGAGTCGTGACTTTTCAAGCAAGAATAAGCAATGGATGCTCATATTACTGGGCAAAAACATGTTTGGCCTCAAAGGATATCCCCTTAAGATACATATTAGTACATTTAACAATGGAAAAATAGCTTTATACTGAGGAAATCAAGTAGACATCAGCATAACCATGTGACCCCAATTCACACGCCTCCTGACATGATGCACTGGGAAGGACATGTCGATCCTGTAGCGTTTGTGCCAAAAGTGCATAACCTGCATCTCTAATTATGGGGAAATATCAGAAAAATCTAAGTTGAGGAGCATTCTGTAAAGTAATAGTCTATACAGGTCAAAAATGTCAAGGTTATGAAAGACAAATACTGATGCTACAGGGGCACGTGGCCCGCCCCCTCAGGAGAGCGTGCGACTCCTGATCTCGGCGTCATGAGTTCAAGCCCTGCACTGAGCGCAGAGATTACTTAAAAGCAAACAAACAAAAAATAAAACATGCCAGGAGACAAGACCCTACGTGTGGTCCTGGACTGGGTCCTGCATCAGGGGAAAATGTTTCTTTTTCTAGAAAGGGCCCTATTGGGACAACTGGTAAAAATCTAAAAAAGGACTTGACTAGATTAGATAATATGACTTCTTTTCATAACTGAATGTCCTCATTTTTAGAAAATAAATGCTAAAGTGTTTAGAGGTCAAAGAGCATCATGCCTGCAACATACTGTAGAGTGATTCAGGTAACCAAGTACGTGTACAGAGAGAGGGAGCGGGCAGGAGTGATAAAGCAGCTGTGCTAAAGGCTACAATCTGCGGGATCCGGTGGAAGGCTGTTCCCGTGTTCCACATTTAAAATGCTGTCCATCATGTACCTTACTCCTTCCCCAGGAGCTGCAATTCTCAAAATAAAACAGCACGAACCAGAGTATCAAAGACCTGCACTTCCACGACTCTTACTTATTTACCAGAATTTAGTATCTTCCCGTCTCCCTTCCTAGCCTGAGTAACAACGACATTCCTCCATTTGACTTTCGCAGTGATTGTTATACAGTTTACCTGGAAAGAGTCCATGCAGACGGGACTGGAAGCCAGCTCCTCATCTACTGCATGCAACTTCTCCATGAAAGTACTGTCCCTGGTCTGCTTGGGCTTTGGGGGGGGCGGGGGCCCCATGGGCACTACCTCAGCGCTGATGTGCCTGACGGCAGGTGTGGTGACTTTCTCAGCCTGATTAAAAGAGGCAACTATGTTAAAAAATGAAAGGGAGGGAGGGAGGAGAGGAGAAAGAGAAGGAAGGAGAAAAAAGGGGGGAAAAAAAAAAAGCCAGGGGAAGGGAGCACAACTTTCCTACACCAGGGATCTTCATCTTCCCATCCAGACAGAGCTCCAGGAAAACAAGATGCACTGTCAAATATATTCATCTAATTAGGTTCCATCTTATTTCCAGTGTAGCCAATAGGATGCTACTTGGGTTACCAAGAGTGGGAAATCTAAGAAAAATGGCGTCAGGACAATATAAGAAAGACAAAGGTAGAAAAGAAACCACTCATCACTCGTAGTTGGCCCCTCAATAAGAACTCAGAAAAGCGCTCTCCCTCTGAGGAGTCCCACTTTTCCTGTCAATCATTCACTCACTTAAAGGACTTTGTTTTGTTTTGGGGTTTTTTTTTTTTATTTAATTTATTTACTTATTGAGAGCGAGCACGCGCACAAGTGGGGTGAGGGGCAGAGGGGGAGAGAGAGAATCTCAAGCAGGCTTGGTGCTGAGCACAGAGCCTGACACAGCCTCGATCTCACGACCCCGAGATCACGACTCGAGCTGAAACCAAGAGTCAGACACTTTACCGACTGCGCCACTAGGCGCCCCAACTTAACGGACTCTGACACCTGAACAGCTGTAACCAGCCACAGGGACCAGGAAGGTTTGGGCATTAATAGTGATCTTGAATCCTGTTCGGGAAAGGTGACAGCTTGGCATCACCATGCATGGCCAGCCTACTGCAGTCACCTCTCCCCGCTCCCCTCTGCACAAAGCAGACTCACCTCTGACAGCAGGCCGCCCTCCTCATCGGTCTCGGTCATCTCCGAAGACTGCCTCAACCTGGACTTCTTCGCCCCCCGTGGAGACGAAGCGGTGCTCTCAACATCACTTTCCAACAAACTCTAAAACACAAATCCAGTTCAGGTTTCCATTTCTGCCCCTGCCTCATCCCCACTGAGTCTGAAATACCTCAAGAAAATGAACCAATTTAGTCAAAATAAGAGAAAATAAAACATTAAATAGAAGTTGAATATTCTGAGGTGAGCACAGACATCAGATTGCCCTCGTCATCAGAAGTGCAAGACAATGGTTTAAAATCCTTTCACCAACAAGTCAAATACACTAAGAAACAGAGTATCGCCCAGCAATGAAAATGAGCGAAGAGCAGCCGTAAGCAACAGTATCGACGAACCATAAAGGATTAACGATGAAACAAAGAAAACAAAAAAGCCAGACGAACTGTCCATTATGTAAGGTCCAGAACCAGTACAACAGAGGACGAGGCTGTGTCATGCTGCATATGCAGGTGACAGACTATAAAGAAAAGAACACAGGGGTGTGCGGGCAACACTGCGTTTAAGGACTTTGGAGGATGCTTCATGACCATCGGCCTTATAATGATTTACGCTGTATTTTTAAGTTTTTATTCTGTGTGTTACACGTGCGTTCTATTTCATAATATAAAACATGAAAACATTAAGGGATTCTGAAGAGGAGAAAACAGCTCTCAATCCTGGTTTTATGCAAGGAAGTGAGCAGGAAGAACTGTGTCCTGATTCTGCCTATGGAAGAGGTGACAACACCGCGGAAGGCTTACGGAACCCAGTTCTTCCATACTGGCGACTAACACTCACAAGGGGGCCACTGACCTCTTCAGCCGTCTCGTCTTCCTCTTCGTCGTCTGGCTGGTACTCCTCATCTGAGGAGTCATCGTCTTCCAGGTGGATATCCACAAACTGGGGGGGCTACGTAAGTAAGTTACAGAAAGAAATGAAGTAACAGGAAACACAACCGTATGTATTTGGAAAATAAGAGGAAGAAAGCAGAGCAAGAAGAAATAAATCCTAAGAGCACAATGAGCAGCTAAAGCAAGTAGTAAGAGGCAGGGCTTAAAGAGATCTCTAACATGAGAGTCAAACCTAAGAGGAATGGAAAGGAAAAAAACAAAGATCGAATTAAAACAAGAAGACAGATCCCCCCAAAACTAACAAACAGAAAGGAGGTATAGATTTCAAAACTGATGAAGTCTTTCTGGAAAAGAATAATAATTACCTCTTCCAAGTTTACCTTAATTTCATTGGCCTTCTTAATCGGTGAAATATTCCATGTTGGAATTACCTACCAACAAAGAATATAAACAATTATGTTCTCTTAACTGAAATAGACGGGTTTTCATTTTTACTTCCTCTTCACCATCACAAGAGCCATGAACCTAACATGCAGCTGCAGTGATGGAGGGCTATTAATTATCCCTGAGGGGACACTCTGAAATATCTGTCAGAATTTGCCAGAAGAAAAGGAGAGAAGAATCTATTTCCATCATTAGCATTTCTGCCTTAAAGCCAGTTAAGACTCTGTGTTATCTATAAATAGGGAAAGTATCTGTCTTACCTACTTTATTATTATTTTTTTAAGTAAACTCTACCCCCACCATGGGGCTCGAACTCACAGCCCCGATATCAAGAGTCACACGCTCTACCGACTGAGCCAGCCAGGTGCCCCTGTCTTGCCTACTTCATATCACAACTTGTGCTCACATGGAACAATGAATTTGAAACTATAATAGTCACACACCTAAGATATTATAGGTAATCGTAACCTTTGAACATCAGTATTTTTTTAATCCATTACGTAAGTCCACCGTAAGTATGCATGCTGACAGCCAGCCATGACCAGTTCTTATGGAAGGATTTAGGGGTGAAGTATCGAGTTGTCCCCAACTTATTTTCAAATAGTACAGGAAAAAAACAAGGGATGGGGCACCTGGGTGGCTCAGTTGTTAAGTGTCTGCCTTTGGCTCAGATCATGATCCCGGGGTCCTGGGATGGAGCCCCGCACTGGGTTCCCTGCTCCATGGGAAGCCTGCTTCTTCCTCTCCCACTCCCCCTGCTTGTGTTCCTGCTCTCGCTGTCTCTCTCTCTGCCAAATAAATAAAATCTTTAAAAAAAAAAAACAAGGGATAGATATAGAGATACAAAGCAAATATGGCAAAATTTTACCACTGTTAAATCTAAATGGAATATAGGGGCACCTGGGTGGCTCAGTTGGTTAAGCGACTGCCTTCGGCTGAGGTCATGATCCTGGAGTCCCGGGATCGAGTCCTGCATCGGGCTCCCTGCTCAGCGGGGGGTCTGCTTCTCCCTCTGACCCTCTTCCCTCTGACCCTCTTCCCTCTCGTGCTATTTCTCATTCTCTCTCTCAAATAAATAAAATCTTCAAAAAAAAAAAATCTAAATGGAACATAGATTCACTGTAAAATTACATCAACTTCTTATATGTTTTAAAATAACAGAGTTGGGGGCGCCTGGGTGACTCAGTCTGTTAAGCATCTGAATTCAGTTCAGGTCATGATCCCAGGATCCTGGGATCCAGCCCCGTGCTGGGCTCACTGTTCCGAGGGGAGCCTGCTTCTCCCTCTCCCTCTGCTGCACATGTGCTCTCTGTCAAATAAATAAATAAAATCTTTTTTTAAAAAATAGTAAATAAATAATAAAATAACAGAGTTGGGGCGAGATGTTTTTAAAGAATTTTTTTAAGGCTCTTACATGCTGTTGACAAAAAATGCCCCTGGAGTGTATAATTTCTTGATCATTTAAGGTGACCCAATGAATCATGTTATGAATAAAATCCAACAGGCCACTGGGTTCTGTCTCCACAAGGAGCCTTAGGCTCGCCACATGTCCTTCGCCCTGCCATGTTCCGGCCACTTACCTCAGGTGGCCCAATACAGGATGAAGGGAATGATGTAATTAATATAGGTCCACACTTCTTCCCATGCTTGTGTCTGAAACAATTCGGTTCCCTACCGCCAAATCCACCAGGAAAGCGAGCAGCATCTGGGAGTGTGCTAAAGTCAGCTTACTGAGCATGAACAAAGCAAGAGCCTCGGACTTTAATCCCTGCTCTCCCACGTAAACTGTAGTCTTGGCTTGTCCAACATCTCTGCATTTATTCATGGTTGGTAAATACAATCCAGAGCCTGATCAGGATCTCTTTGTTTCCAGATCAAATATGGAATTATTGTTACTTATACTCTGTGTGTCAGGAGACTTCATACAACTCCGTCTCACTGATGGCTGCTTTCATCATAGCTACCACATATGCGCATTTGTGATGATTATGTAATTCCTGGAGAAAGATGAAATTTAACTCTACGCAACCAGGCTTAGCCCACTAGACAAAAGAATACGATGTGGCTGTCAAAAAAAGCCAATGCAGTCCTAGGCTGCACTAAGAGAAATATGGTGTGTGGGACACTAAAGGGATCCTTAACTTCATTCCATACAGTAAAACCACATCTGTAGCAGGAATTCCATGTCAGGCACACTTTTCAAAGGATATGGACAAAGCAGGCACATTCGGGAGAAAAGGATCAGATTGGTAAATGTACTCAAAGTCTTGTCACATGAAGACCGATAAAAAGAATTGGGGGACATTTAGCAACAAAAGAATATTACAGAAAGATGTACTAGTTTTCTCCTACCAGAGGAAAGGTCACGTGGAAGAGGAGCAGACTTATTTCGTCTACAGGGCTGCGAAGAATAGACCCGGACGAAAGGACAAAAACAACAACATGCATTTTGGGTCCATTAGGCAAATCATCCTCACTATCAGACACAAAACGGACCGCCACAGGACCATCACCTGCCTGTTACAGACGCTGAGCACTGGACAGATGCTTGTTGAGCAGGAAATAAATGGGTCCCAGCATCTGTGCCAGAATCCTCCAGAAGCCTTCGAGTGGCTCTCATTCCTTGGTGTGTGCAAAACAACCAACTGCTGTTTCCAATAATGCTTATTCCCAGGCCCTGCTCCTGGGTCCCTATTCCAGGTCTGAGGTGAGCCACGGAACATGCATTTTCAGTAAGCACTCGTGAGGGACCCCACAGCAGAGTGACCTGACGCAGTGCTCCCTGGGACACACCTGGAAAAATACTCTCGACCCTTTGCCACGTACCCCATGAATAGAAAGGCTGCCCCTGCTCAGTGCTTCCAGCCGTGCTAATGGTTGTCTACCGAGTAGGCCCCAAACAGCAGTACTTCCACATCAACGGAAATAAATGATGATAAGGACTCTGAATGTTGTCTCCACTTATCTTTTACAGCTATTTCTCGGAAGGAGGCAAACCCAGACCATGATAATTCTTTCCTATTTTTTCCCCCCCTGCAAATAACCTAGAATTAGACCTTATTTACCAAACTAAAGGAAAAAAAACAAACACAAAAACAGAACACCCACCACTCCTTTTTCCACCACTTCCTTCAGTTTAGAGCGTGTCATTTTGGGCTCCTGAGGCAGGGAAAATGAGAAGAAAACAGTCAATAGAAATTATCATGTGAATCTTGGGTTTTGAAACGCTAACTCTACCCCCACTATCAAGCTATTTACAAACTCCCGAGCAACCTCCTGCACTTGCCCATTTACAGTAGCTCTGTTCCACAGCATTAAAGAGAAACAATCAACTACTCACAAACATCGGCATATCTTCCGTCTCACTGATGGCTGCTTTCATCATAGCGACCACATGCTCATTTGTGATTACTTCCTGGAAAAAGATGAAATTTCACTTTATGCAGCAAAGACGTGTGACCTAGAAAACAGCCGCTTCTTAACTCTGCTAGATACTGAAATGGCTTCTGGTTGGGGTAAAGCCAGCTTTGGCCAGAAGCACCCAGGCTCAAACTCTAACAGAACAGGCATATTCGATGCCACAGCTACCAGGAGCAGGAATGTGAGTGCGGGTAACCGACTCTACGCTTCTGAGAAACAGTAACCAGCAAGGAAGGTTCTGTAAACAGCTGTGTTGATACATCTGGAAGAACAGGACCAGCGCATGCGCAGCATAAACTGCTCCCCTGGCATCTCTCCAGACCTATCGACCCACGGAAGAGTAAGTCCACTGCGAACATTATCATCTTCAAATGTGCCAAATAACACGATAAACCAGCCAGGCAGTGGAGGAGGAGAGGAACAGTTTACCTGCCCAGGTTTTTTTGAACGTGTGTTCGGATTTCAAACGTGTGCTGAGTGCAACGGGGAAGCCGTCCTGAAATGTCAAGTGCTGTGGCCCGTGCTACTCCCAAAGTTAGTAATTCGCATACTAAGAACCAAGAATTCCCTGAGAGTCTGTACTTGCTCTCCAGGAAGCCTTCCGGCCGCCGTGTCCACGGCCGCCGTCGTACTCACGTGGAGGATGTTGCGCACGTTGACGGCAGTCAGGTTGTGCTGCTTGGCGCCGTCCTCCAGCGTGCGGTCCAGCGCGTCGTCCAGCTTCAGGTCGCAAGCCCATGCCCCTCCCTCTGGACCGCGTCCGTCCCGCTTCCTCTTGGTGCCCTTTCTCTTTTTTCGCCTTTTCTCACTTTCTTCACCGCCTTGTTCTTCTGCAAATAAACCAAGAACATCATCAGAATCTCCAAACCACTGCTCCCATAACTTACCCCAACAAGCCAACAGTAAGAGAAGAAGAGGCCGCCGGCCGGCTGGCCCCGAAAATGAAAGCAGCCTGCTCGGTGGCGACAGTGAGGATGCGCTGGGCGGCGCACTCAGTCCGCGGCAGCCGGGCCTCCGCACAACGACACGCATGGACCTCCTCCTCCGAACAACCCTAGGAAGCCGGAACTGTTACTTTGCCCACTGTATACAGATGAAGAAACTGAGGCAGAGAGATTAAGAAACTTTCCCAAGAGCCAGTAATGACAGAGTCATGCTCTGAAGCCTCGTTCTCTAGCCCTGGCATCCACAGTCCTACTTACTACCCTGTGGAGCCCAGGTGATATGGCAGAAACCCCGGCTTTGTGTCTCAGTTCCGGGCAACCTCAGAAAGATTCTTCTTTTCTTCTTTTGCAAATACAGATATCTGCCTATCAGGGACGCCATGCAGATTAAGTGAAATAATATAAACCAAAGTGCTTTATACCAGTGAAACATTATACAATGTAACTTGTCATTATCATTATTCTATTCAGTCTAGAAGAGAGAAAAACAAGGAGCAAAGGATAAAAAATTCACTCTGAACTGTACCAAAAAAGGTGAGGGGAGGACAAAGTTCTCTCTATTCTACGAGAGCATATATATAACCAGACAAAAGGAAAAACTTCTCCATTATTAGAATCTGTTAAGTCTTGAAATAGATTATCATGTAATACCAAAATGACGTTCTCATCCTTCCAAAGCTTTAAGGCCTGCTACCCTCTGAAAACAAGGATTAGAGAGGATGAACATGAAGATGACCTTCTCTGTTTAAAAGATTTTGTGACCTTCAAGCCACATCCCGGCAATATTTAAACAGTGAAAAGTAGTGACTTCAAACAACTGCTTCTGCACTTGTGAACACACACCAAGAATTTGATAAACGTGTACAACTCTCAATCCAGTAATTCTTGTTTTTAAGGAAACAATTAGATGTGCAGAGACTAATAATCACATTACTCATTGCAACGTTAATTATTTTAGCAAGAAGATGGAAATCTCCTAAATGTCCAATATTCCAGGAAGGGTAAAATGAACACCGGTACATCCATACACTGGACTGCAATAGAGCCATTAAAACTTGTCTTTTTAGGGGCGCCTGGCCGGCTCAATCAGTAGAGCGTGCGACTCTTGATCTTGGGGTTGTGGGTTCGAGCCCTACGTTGGGTGCAGAAATTACTGAAATAAATAAAACTTTTTTTTTTAATGGTCTTTTTAAGCAATGGGGGAAACAAATAAAAATAACTACAAAGAGCTTTAATGATATGGAAAATTTTTCTGATAATGATTTTTAAGAAAAAAAATAGGTAGAATTCAAACATGCGCATCTTACAGTCATGTCGCCTAAATCAAATGCAATGCTTCGAGGTACAACCCACAAGATGACACCTACAAAAGAAACATAAAACCTCCCAAAGTACTAAATAATGATAAAGCTCTTTACTACTTTTTTTTTTTGAGAAAGCAGCAAAAGGGGAATTACACAGCATAATACACATTATCTTTGTATACATTATCTTTTCCCCAAACCTCTCTTCTCGCCTCACCACTGAGTCACCCAGATGCCCTAGACTTACATTTTTATAAAATAAAATTAAGAATGTAGCCATCAGGGGGCGCCTGGGTGGCTCAGTGGGTTAAGCATCTGCCTTCGGCTCAGGTCATGATCCCAGGGTCCTGGGATGGAGTCCCGCATCAGGCCCCCTGCCTGTGCGCTCTCTCTCTCTCTCTCTCTCAAATAAATAAAATCTTTAAAAAAAAAAATAAAAGAATGTAGCCATCATGTCAAATGTTATAAAATTTCTACACATTTACTCAATTTCCATAAATAATTTTGTTTCAAACCAGTTCTCAAACTGGCACTGGTTCTCGGACCACACTTTGAGTAGCAATGCTTTAAGATACACACTGAGAAACACTTAGCCCCACTAAAAATACTATAAAAAAATGAAACATAAAAATTATTTAAATGAATTGTGAAGAAAGCTTTTCATAAAATTTAAATGCAAATATTTTTCATGGAAAAACCATTAGAGTTAGCATAATTCCATTTAGAATAGCTATCTTAAAAACATGCAATCGGAGTGGGGTTAAACCATCCCAGTGTCTAAATTACATCACACCTATTTCTCCTCTGATGTCTGATTTTAATGCTGAGTTTTTATTAGGGAATATATGTCTGAAGGAAAATCTAATACATTCAAATTCTAACACACTACACAAACAATCCAAAAAAGAACAGATAATTCAACTATTTGTTATACTGTTTTACAATTAATCCTTTATCTTCTAAAATATTGGGATACCACTGACTCTATGAATTCTAAGAGCTGAAATTAAAACATTAAAAAAAGGAAGCCACTCTATTTAAAGATCAAGCTGGAAAAGACACAGAAGAAAATCTAATTTTTCCTTCCAAGAGAAAGATGGAAGGTGGCCTAAAACAAGATATTCCCTGAAAAGTAGATCTAATGATGTAACCAATGAACTGAAAGTAAAATGTACTGTAAATATACTGTAAAGTGGATGAAGTGAGTAAAAATACAGTGGGTTATGCAAAATCTAAATCACCAAAGTTGCTCAACAGCCCTGTCAAGCACACACCCAGAATCTCAGGTTCTGGCCACAACAATGTATTTTTTAACAGATGAAACCTTCCCACCAAAAACAACTGTAAAACTATCTAAAACTACAACTGACCCTTGGGTCACACAGGTTTGAACTATGCAGGTCCACTTATATGTAGATTTTTTTCAATAAATACAGTACAGTACTGCGAATGCATTTCTCTTCCTTATGATTTTCATAACATTTTCTTTTTTCCAGCTTACTTTACTGTAAGGATAGAGTATACATTACACATAACTTAATCAACTATATTATTAGTAAGGCTTCTGGTGAAAGTAGGCTGTTTTAGGGGAGTCAAAAGTTATATGTGGATCTCCAACTGCATGTGGGGCACAGCGCCCCAACCCCCACACTGTTAAAAGGGTCAACTGTACATAAAAGTGGAAAAATATATACATAAAGCAGTCTGAAGCCACTGAAGAACCCTCATGGAAAGGATTTAAGGAGTTGGAATCTTTTAGAGAAGGGAAGCACATTAAGGAGGACCCAAGCTGAACACAGTGGTCTTGCTAGCATAAGAAGCCAGACATTTGGAGCTGCCGAAGCAGCTGACACTGAAGGATAAAACTCTGCAGAGTAGGTTAGACGTCTGACTCTTGATTTCGGCTCAGGTCCTGATCTCCGGGGTTGTGGGATCAAGGCCCCCGGCTAGCTCCGTGCTTGGCAGGGAGTCTGCTTGAGATTCTGTCCCTCTGGCCCTCCCCCCACCGCACTCACATGCATATGCATACACTCTCTCAAATAAATACTAAAAAAAAAAACAAAAAACCTCTGCAGAGGAGAAAACCAAGGAAAAATGAGCCAAAAAAGTTTCTGTTCAAGCTCCTCTGAAGACCTTAGCAGACCCTTAAGCTGTGCATGAACAGGATGGAACCCCAAGAAACACAGCAGGAGAGTGGCTAGGAGGCAGAAGATTCTCACTCCACAGCTCTGGGGAGAAAGAGGTTGTAGTTCAAGTCGTGAAAAGGAGGTAAAGGTCTTCAAAAACACTACAGCAAGATTTCTTAGCAGTGCTGAAACCTCAGAAGAGCCACCCACAGGCCACAATCTAGGAGTAAGTAGAAAGTGGAAACAAGGGGCACCTGGGTGGCTCAGTCATTAGGCGTCTGCCTTCGGCTCAGGTCATGGTCCCAGGGCCCTGGGATCGAGCCCTGCATTGGGCTCCCTGCTACACGGGAAGCCTGCTTCTCCCTCTCCCGCTCCCCTTGCTTGTGTTCCCTCTCTCGCTGTGTCTCTCTCTGTCAAATAAATAAATAAAATCTTTAAAAAAGAAAAAAAAAGAAACAAAGAAAGTGGAAACAAACTAGACTTAACATAGCATAAAACTAACCCGTGGCAGATTTAGGTGATCCTCCAAAATTATCTGCCTGCCAGAAGATAAAATAACCCTCTTTGGAAGAAGGTAACAATACCAAAGCCTCCAGAATTTTCCATCCATAATGTCCAACATACAATCAAAAATTATAAAACGCGGGACGCCTGGGTGGCTCAGTCAGTTAAGTGTCCGCCTTCAGCTCAGGTCATGATCCTGGGGTCCTGGGATGAAGCCCCACGTCAGGCTCCCTGTTCAGTGGGGAATCTGCTTCTTCCTCTACCTCTCCCCCCTGCTTGTGCTCTCTCTCTGTGTCAAATAAATAAATAAAATCTTTTCTAAAAAATTATAAAACTCTAAAAACAGAACCAAAATACCACAAGGGAGGTGGTAGGAGAAGACAATAAAAGAGACCTACAGGGGCGCCTGGGTGGCTCAGTCGGTTAAGCGGCTGCCTTCGGCTCAGGTCATGAACCCGGGGTCCTGGGATCGAGCCCCATGTCCGGCTCCCTGCTCAGCGGACAGCCTGCTTCTCCCTCTCCCTCTGCCTGCCGCTCTGCCTA